GTTTGTGGGAAATACAAGATGCTAAAGGTGTGAGTGGTGTCAGACTTTCCATGGTCATGGGAAGGGGAGAGTGCCACCATGGACCTCAGCAAGGAGGGCAACAGAAAGGTATTGTTTCTAGAAGAGGGCCCAGGACAGAACCTTTGTAGCACATGTAGTGGAGGTCAAAGCCTGCTGCTGCCAAAACAGATGTCTCCCTGAGTGGTGGGTGTGGGTAGGAATATAAGCAGGCCAGCTCCAAGGTACTTGGTGCTTCTACCACTGTAGTGGAAGAAATATAGTGAACAGTATCTTCTAGAGAAGCACTGGGCTTCTGTCCTGCTTCATCATCAGTAATTATTGTATTAGTCAGTGTTGGGCAAGTGAGTCTATGGAGGACCACAGCCGAGGCCCAAGTCTTCTCAGTTGCTATTCCTAGGCTTTGCAGATCTCATATGCTTCTCAGCATGTCAAGGTTTTCTGAATATTGAAGAAAGCTAAGTTAGATAGACATCAATGTATAGTCAGAGAGGGATTGGGCCCTGTAGGAAGTCAGCACAAAAATTAGAGATACCAGAAGTATGGCTGGAGACAAACCTCAGGATGGAGATGCAATAGCCAGGCCTGCAAGATAGACAGCAACTTGAGAGTATAGTATAGCTAGCACGACATGGTCCAGTGGGCCCATATTGGCATCAGGTGCATAGCTGGGTGATCAGAACATGTAGACCCATAGTTTCATCTATTCCCCAAAATGCCTTTGTTCTTTCCAGATAGCCTTGCTAGGTGATTTGTTTCCCTAGGAAGGATCACTATTAGCTAAGCTAAGCAGCTATACTTATAATCCCACAGGCTGATTGTAGTGTCACCCACATTGGACCCACATTGCAGCTTGCTGTATAAATTACCCCTGACAAACAGTCTTGGTGGCTACCCATTTGCGATCCCTTCTGGAAATTCAGGAGCTATTGTTCTTCTACTCTTTCACCTTATTTCCAGTAAAACTTTTCTAACTTCCTCCTTTGGTTCACGACTTACTTCCCATGATGTTGTAAGACCATGAATTTGCCACATTTGACATCTAACAGGCTGAGAGTTATAGTTTTTCTATATCATGGGCATCATTCAAATAAGGATCATGAATCTGGTTATTGCATGAAAACTCCAAATTAGTTAAAACAAACCAACAAAACACCAACTCAACACTTACAGAATTAGATCATGCATGCTACCTGTAGGAAACACAGAACAAAGTAACAAAAGCTACAAAGATGGGCATAGTCTTCCCTTGTCTATAATTTAAATTTATATGGCACTAATCCAGAGGAAAGTATAGGGCCTTTGTGCTTCCTAGATTCCCAGGGTCTGTAGCTCACACAGCTTCCCAGATTGAGGAAAGGATTATAAGGCCACAAAAGAAACACCAAGAAATCAAAGTATTACTCCAAAGCTTGCCTATAAAATTTGATGACTACTTCAGTTTGGAATCAAGTGTTTTAACATGCTATCTGTAGGAAGCACAGAACAAAGTACACATGGATGAAGGAGGAGCACTTTCACAATAAGAAATGCAAGGTCACAGGGGCTCTGGATGGTTCCAAACAGCATGTCACTGGTAAGGGGATCCACAACTCTGTTAAAAATAAAATAAGGATAGTGAAACTCTATGTATAGGAAAGCTTTAGTCAATTACTTTAACTTAAATATTTATTTTTATGTATTAATGTACATGATAGAAATCTGTCCAAATATTTATCAAAAACATTCTTGGTAAGTTTAAATTGGAGTTAGAAATTAAAAGAAACCATTGTATTATAGTTTTCTATGGCAGCATTTTTTTTCTTAGTGATGTATACAAAAGGGGCTTAGAAAGGAGGCTTAGACTTAATAAAAAATAGTAATTTGCCCCAGTTAAAAAAAAAAAAGCATGAAACCTTGATTTAACAAAACCTAAGGAGTCTACTATACAAATAGATTGCTTTTATTTCCTAGAGTTTTCTGGGAAAACTATAAACCCAACACTCAATATTAATCTAAAGCTAGTTAGTTGTTTTTAAGAGTTAATTATGTGGAAGATATTTTCAAAGGACTCAAAGCTAAGAGAGAGCTGAGGACAGAATTGATTCCAAGCTATAATCCCAAATAATATTAATGTTAAAAGTTAATGATGCATGGGCTGGTGAGATGGCTCAGTGGTCTAAAAGCACCTACTTGGAACAAGCTTAGCAAAGCAAAGGGACCGCGGTTCAATTCCCCAGCACCACATGCCAGCCAGCCCCGCCCCCTGGTGGGCTGAGCTGGCCACACACACACACACACACACACACACAAATAAATAAAATTTTTTTAAAAAGTTAATGATGCAGAATCATAATGGTATCATCAAGCAGGAGGACACTAGGCAGATGAAAACGTTTTTGTTTGCTATGCATTTCATCCTCTTTCCTCTCTTCTCTCCACAATGAGAAGCAGTCACTTGCCTTCAAAAGCTGTTTTTTTGTTTGTTTGTTTTTGTTTTTAAATTTAGAAACACTTGCTTAAGGGAACATGTTAAAACACTTGACTCCAAACTGAAATAGTCATCAAAATTTATAGGCAAGCTTTGGGGTAATACTTTGATTTCTTGGTGTTTCTTTTGTGGCCTTATAATCCTTTCCTCAATCTGAGAAGCTGTGTGAGCTACAGGCCTTGGGAGTGTAGGAAGCACAAAGGCCCTATCCTTTCCTCTGGATTAGTGCCATATAGATTTAAATTATGGACAAGGGAAGACTATGCCCATCTTTGTAGCTTCTGTTATTTTGTTCTGTGCTTCCTACAGGTAGCAAAGTGCCCCATTGCTTCAAAACCACAGACTCATCTTAGCTGCTTTTTTTTTTTTTTCTATTCTAACTGAGACAAGGGAATCCTCTTATATAGGTGCTACTTCTGTGACCCCACTCAATTAATGTTTCATTTCATTTTTTAAATAGATAACATAAGATCTTGCAGGGGTCTTACACAATTCTTAGTTACAGATTTGGGTGTGAGCTAGGAAACCTTATGTTGCTCCTTCCATCTTTAACTCTGTTAAAAATAAAATAAGGATAGTGAAACTCTATGTATAGGAAAGCTTTAGTCAATTACTTTAACTTAAATATTTATTTTTATGTATTAATGTACATGATAGAAATCTGTCCAAATATTTATCAAAAACATTCTTGGTAAGTTTAAATTGGAGTTAGAAATTAAAAGAAACCATTGTATTATAGTTTTCTACGGCAGCATTTTTTTTCTTAGTGATGTATACAAAAGGGGCTTAGAAAGGAGGCTTAGACCATTTCTAATGAAGTCTGATTACCTGTACCCACGTTAAAATCTTCAGACGGTTCAGCACTGTATACAGAGACGCTGGGAACTTTCACTTTTCCGTGGCCTAATTCTTCCAAGGGAATTAGAATGCTTTGCAAACACTTTTGGTTTATCATCAAATCCATATAGCAAGTGAATCCACACAGCGAGAGTGTTTTGTATATCCCTGCTTTTTTATATATTGTCTGCTAATGATGGCCATAAGTCTATGCCTAAGCAGAGCCTCTAGTTTAGAGGAGGATAACCAGAGGCTAAGGAAGGGAGTATATGAGTGCTTCTTCTGCCCCAGTAGAATTGACTTGCATGCTGGAAGAATGGTTCCAACATCTTTATTCTTTGTGAATATTAGAAATAGCAACACATCCTTCTGTTTTCTGCGATGATCATTTAGCTATACTCAGGATTTGTAGCACTGCATATCTCCGTGGATTTATTCTGTTTCAGGGTGAAGATGACTTTATGACCCACTTACTATACTGCACTATTTATGGAAGGGGTTGGAGATAAGAACACTAGACAGTCTGACGTTGGCGCCACCACCCAGGGTCCCTGCCCAGGAGGGAGGACCCTCTGTTCCATTGTTATCAAAGTGCTGAAGCCCTGGCAACTGTACCGTTTTAATAGAGGAATGTATCCTATCTCTGTGTAAGGAGATACTGGAGCACAGATGATGGAGTGATCAATATTTAGGAAGTCATCAATATTTTAAATACATAAGGTGTCAAGTCAAAGATGGTGAGGAATGACTAACTCCAGTGCTGCCACCCTCAAATTACAGGGCTTTTGAAGGAGTCTATGTTGCCATGTGCCCCAGAAAAGGCCTGGCGAGGCCGCTGCTCTTGGGACGAGTTCCGGAACCCTGCAGCCTGGGGTTTCACAGGGGCGCGGTGCAGCCTCGGTCAAGCTGTGCTTGGAGCTTCTGGGCCGCTTGGTGTTCAGCACCGCTGGAAGGACAGCTCCTGGGGGGGGAGGGTCAGAATTGCTGGGAGGACAACTCCTGGAAGGGGGTTCGGAACTATCCGGCGGACAGCTCACGGAGGGGACTTCGGAACCTTCCGTAGGACAGATCCTGGCGCAGGGCTCGGAACCGCCGCGGGAACCGCTCCTGGAGAGGTTTTCCAAGCAGCTGAGCAGACATCTCCGGGCGCCGGGCGCGGCTGCGCTGGGCCCGGCGGGAGGGCGGGGCTGGGCGCTCAAAGGCGGGACACTGCCCAGCGGCCCTCCCGCAGCCCCGCCCGAGAGGTGGGGCGTCCAGCGGCCCCGCCCGCCGTGCCGCCACGCGCGGGTCCGGCTTCCCATTGGCCGGAGGCCGGTGCGGGGTACGGGAGGCGGGCCCGCCCGGCTGCTAGAGCTCTGGAAGGTCGGCGGCGCAGCGTGGGTATCGCGGGGAGGGCTCACCGGGACGCCACGGAGACGCAGCAGCGCAAGTCCAGGTTCTGGTGTCGCGCCCGGTCCCGGTCCGGATCCCGGCCCCAGTCCCCTTCCCGCCGCAGCCACAGCTTCGAGGCGCCCCGGGCGCGGCCCACTGGCCAAGACGGCGGGCCGGCCGGGCGCGGGGCG